TAACATTTTTTTTTTTTTTTTTTAAATAAGATCTCAGTCTTGCCCTGGCTAGAGTGCAGTGGCATCATCATAGCTCACTGCAACCTCAAACTCCTGGGCTCAACTGATCCTCCTGCCTCAGTCAGCCTCCCAAGTAACTGGGACTACAGACATGTGTCACCACAATCAGCTAATTTTTCTCTTGCTCACTGACTCAGGCCAGTCTCAAACTCCTGGCCTCAAGTGATCCTTCCGCCTCGGCCTCCCAAAGTGCTGGGATTACAGATATAATACTACACCTGGTGAAATGTGTTATTTTAGCTGTGAAACAAAGTACATGCAAAATGTCCTGATTAATGATGATTAAACTAAAAGAAAGTCCCATTCCTCTTTTCTCCAACCTCAACTTCCTTGTCATTTCAGACCCCTAAGGGGATCTGTGCAACATCTGTGAAGGCTGCCATCGACATAGGGTACAGACACATTGACGGGGCCTACATCTACCAAAACGAGCATGAAGTCGGGGAGGCCATCCAGGAGAAGATAGCAGAAGGAAAGGTGCGGAGGGAGGACATCTTCTACTGCGGAAAGGTGAGAGATCTTGCCTTCACTCTTCATCTCCTTATATTAATGGTGCATCTGCGGTTACTTTTCTCTAAAAGAATGTTGGACAAAGCGAGGAGACCTCATCCCTCTCCTTCTCAACTGTAAGATCCCTCACTCTTGCAAAAAAGTTAGGGTCTAATTAGCCCCTGAAGGTTAGGACAAAGCTCTTTCTTCATACATGGGCATTAATTTAAGACGAATTAATCTAGGAAAAGCCAAATCTACAAAGCAGAAAGATTGGGAAGTGGCAGGAAAGGTGGTGGTGTTTCACATTATGTAAGCATTTGCCAAAGCTTTCTTTAAAAAAGCAGTTTTTTCTTTTGTGTGGGCCAATTTGTCCATAGATTACTATTTTTTAATCTAAATATAATTCGCCTACCATAAAGTGCACCATTTTAAACCAGGGATTTTTAGTATATATACAAAGTTGTGCAACCATTACCATTACCTAAATCTCGAATATTTTTATCACTTCAAAAAGAAACTTCATCCCCATTAGCAATCATCTCCCATTTATTCCTTTCCCCTAGTCACTGGTAACCACTCTGATCTACTCTCTGTCTCTAGTTTTCCTATGCTGGGTATGTTATACCAATGGAATCATACAATATACATCCTTTTGTGTCTAGTTTATTTCACTTAGTATGTTTCCAAGGTTCATCCATGTGACGTTGAAAATCTGCATACCTGACAACCTAACGATTCTTCTTTTTAATATATACTCCAGAGAATTTTTGTCTCATGTGACCAGTATCGTTTATAATTATGTCTCGAGCACCATTGTTTGTGATAGCTCAAAACTAGGAAGAACTCAAAGGCCCATCAACAGTAGATGGGCAAATGAATGGTGATATGTTCAAACACAGTATGTGAGTAATAATGAATAAAATACAGCTAAAAGCACTAATGGGGATAAATTTCAACAACATGATAGTGAGGGAAAAAAGCTAGCTGTGCAGGCTTCTTGGGCAGGCACCCCATGCAAGCCTTTACGTCCCATAGAGCTGCAGTCCCCAATCCCTGGGCCGCAGACCAGTACCAGTTCATGGCCTATTAGGAACCGGGCTATATACCAGGGTGTGAGTGGTAGATGAGCGAGCAAAGGCTCATATGTATTTACAGCCATTCCCCATCGCTTGCATCACCACATAAGCTCCGCCTCCTGTCAGATTAGGGGAGGCATTAGATTCTCATAGGAGCAGGAACCCTACTGTAAACTGCACATTCAAGGGATCTATGTGGCGCTCTCCTTACGAGAATCTAATGCCTGAAGATCTGAGATGGAGCTGAGGTGGTGATGCTAGTGCTGGGGAGCAGCTGCAAATACAGCTTATTGTTAGCAGAGAGGTTTGACTGTACAATAAATGTAATGCACTTGAATCATCCTGAAACCATTCCCTCCATTCCCCCGGTCCATGGAAAAATTGTCTTTCATGACACCGGTTCCTGGTGCCAAAAAGGTTGGAGACTGCTGCTATAGAGTCATTTCTTGCTATGGTAGATGTTAAAGTTAGCAGATAAGAACAAGGTGGACAAAACATCCTTTAAAATCCTATAAATTTTCCACAAAGTACAGTTGTACATGCAACCCAACATTTACACATAAACGATGTCAATAATGTGCCGTGTGTAATAAAGCACACACAGGCAAAATATAACAGTATTTACTTAAGTAAACAGAAGGAGTATGTGCAGCCGAGTTCATGTAATGTGCAGCTGCTTTACCCCAGTGGGTTTGGTTTTCACTGCAGCTCAGTCAGGGCCTGATAAGTAGGGTGGGGTAGTGGTTAAGTGGACAGACTCTGATGCTAGATCACCCAGGTCAGAATCCCAGATGTCACCACTAGTTGTGAGTTGCTTAGTGATTCTGGACCTCAGTTTTGTTCTCTGTAAAATGGGGATAATACTGTCAACTATTTCTTAACATTATTATGAGTTCTCATTTACAAAGTGTTTAAACACTACCTGGTACAAAGCTAATAATATATGTGCTTGTTCAACAAAAGTGAATTAAAATATAAAACAGAATTTCCACTTAGACAAGATGGCAGCAATAGCATCAAAAGGCCCCACAGCAATAACAAAAACACATTTAATATATTTTCCCACAACTCTCTCCATATTAAGTTTTCTCTGTGCTTTTAAGGCAAAAAGAAAAAAAAAAGAAAAAGAAAAATCATTGTCCAACAGTGGAAAAAAATCAGATTTTTGCTTACCCTTTCTTCTAACAAAAAAAAAAATACAAAAATTCAAAACTTTTTTCCCAAAGTGAACAAAATGCAGAAGTTGCCAGATTGCCCTGGGGTCTGAGTAGGACCAAATGAGAACAAAAGACCAGTGAAAGGGAATCTAAATCTATGCGATGATTTAAAATTTCACCAGGCACCACCTGCCACAATATGAAGGATTCACTGAAGCCCCACACATAGCCATAATCGTTACTCATTTCAAACACACCTTTTATCAAAGTGGCATGAAAATAAAGTGTCAGACTAGGTCAAAACCAATAGAACATTGTGTAACTTACCTTAGTTACACAATGAGGAAACATGGGAGCACTAAGGGTCTATTAGGAAATTTTCCCAGAAAGAAAGAAGACTTTGTCAGCAAATTAGGTACTCCATAGTCAAGTAGATGTGCAAGTCTCCTGTACTATATTTGGATAAAGCTATGTTCTGGGTGTCAAGAGTTTTATCAACTCATCCTATACTCAGATGACACTGCATCTTAAACATATTTTTATGAAGTGAAATGAGTAAATAAAATGTGTGTGAATACTCTGCAAAGAATAAAGGGCTACATTATTGTAAAAATACTGTGGATGTTAGTTAACTCTTCCCTTTTGATCCTTTCAGCTATGGGCTACAAATCATGAGCCAGAGATGGTCCGCCCAACCCTGGAGAGGACGCTCAAAACCCTCCAGCTAGATTATGTGGATCTTTACATCATTGAAATACCCATGGCCCTTAAGGTGAGTTCAGATACCTAAAGGTTTGGTCCGTGTACCGTTGCGACCTTGAGCCAATAGCTTTGTGCATGAAGCTAGTTTATGACTTAGCACCACAGAATATTATGGTGTTTTATTACCACAGATCAGAGAGTACTGACCTAGCCTGACAAATGCCCCCAAAGATTATGTTAGAAGACTCAGGCCTGGATTCCAAGTTTCTTGATTCTCAATTCAATGCAGTTTCGATTATACTATATTTTTACAACTATAGTTTAAGCTCTTTCCGGCAATCCAACATGTAGTCCCCTAACTGTGGTCTACATTTTAGTTGTCCAACATCTAGACACACCCTCCTTCTCACACAGTCACAAAATGTCCCTGTACAACATAATGCAAAATAATATAAATGGCTAAAAATATAATCATCCTCTACCTCCTCCAAAGGAAGATAACCCAAAGAATAGTCAGAATTTTGGAGACTGGTCCAAGGGCAGTGTATCTATTAATAGATGTTATCTATTTCTCTAGTTCAAATGAAATCTTTCCTTGTACTTTCTCAATCTATGTATTCAATGTTAATTTAACTACCAAGAAAACACCCAATATACACAGCTAAAGAGCACTAACCGCTTCACAATTTATTGAGGGATGAAGAGATTGAGCAGTAAAATTGGCCACAGGTTCACAAGGTAAATCAGATCCTCTTGGTCAGAAAGAACAGGACTTTTTTTTTTTTTGAGACAGAGTCTCACTCTGTTGCCCGGGCTAGAGTGCCGTGGCTTCAGCCTAGCTCACAGCAACCTCAAACTCCTGGGCTCAAGCAATCCTTCTGCCTCAGCTTCCCAAGTAGCTGGGACTACATGCGCCACCATGCCCGGCTAATTTTTTCTATATATTTTTAGTTGTCCAATTAATTTCTTTCTAATTTTAGTAGAGACGGGGTCTCGCTCTTGCTCAGGCTGGTCTCGAACTCCTGAGCTCAAACAATCCGCCCGCCTCGGCTTCCCAGAGTGCTAGGATTACAGGCGTGAGCCACCGCGCCCGGCCGGAACAGGACTTTCTTGCAACAAGGATTCCATTTTCAAGGAAGGAAAAAAAAAAAAAAGGACAGAGAGAGAGAAAGAAAGAATAGGACTTTCTATCATTGCAGAAAGTTCCTTTAGACAACCAATCTGACTGCCCCTGTTCTATTCTCTGGGATTACTTTACTATTCACTCTTCAGTGGTCATTCAAGATGAATTTTGGGAAAGATTCCCCTTCAGTATCCTGTTTCCTGGAGATACGGGTTTGGAGGCTTTGCAATTGCCTTGGCAATAATAGGCTTTTGTTAGTCATGTAGTGATTTCATGGGCAAGACTAGCCCTTAAAAACTTGACTCCTTAGTTTACCTGATTATTTTTAAAAATAAAGAAAAAAAACCCAAATAGGCTTTTGGCAAATTTACATTCAGTCAGCTCCATAAATGAGTAATTAAAACTAGAAATCTTATAGGGTCACATGGCTTGTATCTAATCGTTGGCCTGTGAGTTTCTGCCTCTTAGTCTAGAGCCTCCTTGCTCTACCCACCTGCCCATCCTCAGCTTAATGGCCTCCGACTTGGTGTCTGGCATGAAATAATACCAGAAAGGGAGGCACAGATTTTATGCTCCTTGCACCAGTCTTCATCCCACTTGATGGTGTACCTTTGTCAGGCAGGGCATCGTAACCTAAGATCTTGCTTTCAGAGGGACCTTGAGAAACGTTATTCTCTCAAGGCCCAATTAGGAAGCAAGTTCACCTGCACCGGCTACTCTAGCAGGTTCATGCTACACTGGTTACTCTAACACTTTAGCCCACTACACCTTGGCGTGCAACTTCTACCACTTGCATGAGTCCAGAGAGACCAGAACACATACGACAATTTAAGTAAAGCAACTTTATTATTCACAGTTAGGCAACAAGGGACAACAGAAGCCTAGGACTTATGGTGAGTGTAGGGTGGGAACTCACACCACAGGCATGGTGCTTCTCTTTCAACTGCTGTAAAAACAAACTCTTAAAGACAACAGGTTAAGCCACAGGTTGTTAATCCAACAAAGGGGCAGTTGTGTGCTGTGATCTTTCTCTTTTTTTCTCTTTTTTGTTTGATAGTTTATTAGCAGTGCCATCCATTCATTCCCCCCTTTCTTTGGTTAGAACTGTTATTTTTATCAATGGACTTGAGACTGGGTTATTTGGATCATTGTCTATTTTCTTGTAATTGTGTTTTGTTGACTTAGGGTTGTAGAGTTGTCACTATCTGTGAGTCTAATTGAGAGTCACTAAGGGGGAGTGGCTGAAATTGGACAGTAGTAAAAGTCAGAGCAGAGGCAGGATAGGAGTATTGTTGGAGGGTTTTTTGGACTGTAGGCAAACAGGGTGTTATAGAACATCTGCAGTGGGGGATATGGAAAGTAGAATTATTTTTAGGATTTCCAGTATGGGCAAAAATGGACTGGCCTGGTACATAAGTTGGGTTGTGGCAACATTCATAGAATGACAAGTATAAGGAGGAGGACAAGAAAAAGAGGAAGTCATATATGTCATAGTATATTATTGAAGTTTACAGTTTGGGGGCTTTTGTTGAGTGAATTGAAGTCTGGTATTGGTGATGGACTGGCAGGTGTAGGCCGGTGGAATCTGGGGGAGTTTGTGGTGGGTGGAAGTAGGTTTTTCTGGAGGATTAGTAGGTTTGAGTTGGGAGAGATGAATTTAGGATGGAATTTTCAGAAGTTTAGTTGTAGTGGGAATAGTGAGAATTATCTGAAAAGGACCTTTTTATGAAGGTTGAAGGGATCTAATTTGTTTTGGGAGATTTTTAAGTAAAACCCAGTCTCCAGACTATAAATGTTGAGGTCCCTTTAAATTAATGGGTCAAGGAAGGTGGGTATTTGTATATTTTCGAAGGAGTTGTCCAGTGAGTTTGATTGTTAGTAAGTCAGTGTCAAGTGGGGATGGGGAAATTGCAGTGAAAGATGATAGGAGAAAAGATTGTATATACATAAGTTTAAAAGGGCTAAGAAGTAAAGTTGTTTTAGGGGAGACGTGGAGTCTGCAAAGAGTATAGGAAAGGAGGTTTATCTAGTTTTGTCATAGTTTTGTAAGTTGTTGGTCTAGTTTATAGTCAAATTTAGTAAAATTTAAAACATTATAGAAGTAGTAGTTTTATGATCTTAAAATATTTAAACTTTAAAAGCAATTTAAAAACTAGTTTTATTTACTAAAGTCTATTAAAGTCACGTGAACTAAAAGGCATTTGGAGTTTATGTTGAATACTGGGGCTGACTGGAGTTTTTAAATATATTTTGGTAGTAAAACATCATATATATATATATATAGACACAAATATATAGACATACAGACAGAAGTATTTTTAGGTGAAACAAAGCAGAAAATTTAATTTTTAAAAGTATAAAGTTAGGACTTCAGGTCTAAATATTGTATCATTATTTGTTTATACCAATGGAAAAAGGTCGTATGTAAAGTCTCAGTTAAGTCTTTTTCAGGAGTCTGAAAAAGGAAGTCTGTGGTTTTAAAAGGAATTGGGTGTCTAACTTAACCATGAGATCTTTTTTTAGTAAGGGGTAGGGCAGTTGGGTAGTACTAGAAAAGAATAAGTAAAGATTTCATTTTTTAGTGAGTCGAGGAGTTGTCGTGAGTATCCGGGGGGCGGGGGGGTTGTATTTTATTTTTCTCTCCGACGATGGAGATAGGGGAGGGAAGTAGAGGTTCCAAAAATGTAGGAAGAGTAGAATAAGTGGCTCTTTTGTTAGTTAGAAAATTTTCGTGTTTACTTGTGATATAGTTATATAAGGCTTGGCCATTTTGATGTTATGAAGTGGAGTTGGTTTTGAAGTTGGGATCTGTCAGTCAGACTGAAATAGTCCCAGAAGATCTGGGGTATGGTGAATGTTGGCTCAGGAGGTCCCACCGGTTCCAGAGGCAAGTGCTGCCTCCTGTCTCAAACAGAGGGCACTGTTGCTTTTAGTGTCCCTCCTTTTTGTAGAGGGGACACAGTCTGTGTGGAGTCCATTTTTGGGGGCATTTTTTATTTTAGTGACTCGGTTGTAGAGGAAGTAGGGTTCAGTTTCTGGAGAAGGGTCTGGTCTTGTTGTCTTTTTGTCTGAGTCTCTTGGTAATTTTGTCTCTGAAAAGTTTTTTTTATAGTGGTAGTCATCATTTGGAAAACTTTTGTTTTTGTTTTTGGGGCCCGGTATCGGTCCTGCTTTTTCTTTTTTCTTTATTCTTTTTCTTTCACCTCATTTATTAAAGATTTTGAAGGCCAGGTCTAAATTTTTTGTTTGTGGAGTTTGAAGTGTTTTTTTTAAGTTTTGGAGTTTATGTTGAATACTGGGGCTGACTGGGAGATGAAGTGTAATGTTAAGATGGATTGTCTCTCTCTGGTGTCAGAATTTAAGTTAGTAAAGAGGTCAATGGCTTTAGACAGTCATGAAAGAAAAATATTTGATGTTTTTAAATTTTGGTTCTGAGTAATTTGTAATGTCTTTTGCTCCATCCTGAAGAGGGAGCTGGTGTACAGGCAGGGAGGGATTTTGGACTGGCCAACCAGAGCGAGTGTAGCTGGGTGAGAGGGGTGGAGACAGAGGAGGAGGAGAGGGAGAAGTAGGGAAAAGTGTACCAAAGGAGTGAAGCAATATGGAGGGAAACAGGAGGAGTCAAAAGACAAACATTATGTGGAAAGTGAAGGTAGTGGGAGAGATGTAGGGATAAGAAGTAATATTTGGCAGGTGGCATGATGATCAGGATGTATAGTAGTTTAAAGAAAGTCTAAATGTAGGGAACTTCAGACCACTTGTCAAGCCAGTGGCAATAAATAGTCTAGTTGTAGAATGGTATTGTGATTAAGAGATTTATTTTGGGGCCAAATCTCCTAGTCATTGATTTATATTGTGGATTATAACAGAAAATTAAATGTTTGGGCTGGATGTTGGTAAATCCCAAAGTTTTTCAATTTTTCAGGAGATATCTCAATGGGGAGTCT